ATAGATATATAGTTGCATTCTCTTAATGAATAGAATGATTTGTTCTAATGGTGTTTGTAAATAGGATCACAAGTCTGCATCTTGTATAGCAATTAACCATTAAGAAGAATATATGCAGTGTATTATCTGTTGAAACTGTACTTCCGATTTGATTTGAAACTGTCTCATTGCTATATGTTTATCAATAAAACTTTGAAAAAAAACTAGCAATGTGAAAACAAAGCACTCTAGGTGGTATCCTCTTTGTTTCTAAAAACTGTGTACTCTAACAGAAGTTTTTTTACTTCCAGCAGAAGTTAAAAGAACAATATTAATAAATGTGCATAGATCACTATGAGTTCAACACTAGCCTGTGCTACATAGTGAGTTCAATACATTACCAGTCTAAACCCTATAACAAGACCCTGTCCCAAAAAACAAAAAAACAGTGTCTTTCCCTTTCATAATATCTATTTTAACTTTTGGGTTTTATTTACTCTTTCAGTTTCTTGCACTAGAGAGACAATGAGGGAAAGGAGAAAAGAAAGAAAAAAGGGGATGTGTGTGTGTGTGTGTGTGTGTGTGTGTGTGTGTGTGTGTGTGATAGCTAAGATAATAGTGCTACTAATTTCTGTTGGTTTATGGAAAGAAATAGTTAATGCTTAATCTTTTTTCATCAATTTTGCATGTTTATTGCTGGTATCAGAACAAGTACTTTGAAGATTACAATATGCAATACAGTAATCAATGTTTATTTCTTATCCTCTTGTTTTGATTTTTTTTTTTTAGCAGAACTGGGGATTGAACTCAGGCCCTTGTGCTTGCCTGGGAAGTGCTTATTCTACTGAGCCATCTCCTCAGCATCATCTTGTTTTGAAATTATGTGTCATTTTTAATGCTTTTAATCTTTTTCTTCTCTTTAAAATAAAAAAATAAACAAGAAAAAGTACATATCAGAAAGAAAAGTATGCAATACGATAGAAGACATTTTAAATTGATTTACTGTTTCATGTTGTTTGTGGCATGAGTATATATAAAAGTTAGTGAGAATATCACTGAGCCTGACCTGCATACTGCCTCTTGCTGCCAAGGTCAACTATACCATCCTCCTCTCCTCTGTCAAGGAGCTGGATTTCCTTCTCATGCAGAAGCTGCGCAATCTTGACCTGTTGCTGTTTGACCCGGGTCTCCAGCAGGTGCACCTGTGCTCTGAGCCGCGCTTGCTCCTGGGAACAGTTCTCTGCGTCCTGTGAATAATGTGCATCTCATCATCATGAAAAATAAATGCTGCTAATAATTTGGATAAATCAGTTATTTAATTTTTTTCTCCAACTCCTAATAAGAATATGATTATGTTATTCCAGAAGGTTTACGGGATCTGAGGAATGTCCACTGTTCAACATGGAGATTGATAAGCTGGAACTGATGGTCAAGAAAGCTCTGAGACGGCGACTGAGACAGGGTGTAGTGGCACTCGCCTGTAATCCCAGGACTTGGGAAGCTGTGAACAGGAGGATCACCACAAGTCCAATCTACACAGTGAGACCGTGTGCACCCTGTACACCCTGTCCTAAATACAAAAAAAAAGAGTATTATTCCAATGGTAAAGTGCTTTGAAAAGTTTAAATACTATTTGCCATTTGAAGAGTAAGAAATCAAAGCTTGTGCCAAAGATTCTGAACTACAGAACTATAAGGGTATAGTACACAATAATCAGAATGACTATACCAGGAGCTTTGATTTCCATAGCAATAATAAGGCAGGAGTGGGTTTCATCCAAATAGAAAGCCTCCCTCATGAATACCTCATGGGTAGGAGGAATCAGATGTCCAATCCAGTTCAAGAACCAAGCTCTCAGTCTCCACATGATACCACCTATGCATTTTACAGTGAAGTGCTGTGCAGAAGCTCATAGTATCATTAGTATGTTAACCCCTAAAGTAAATGAGGCTTTTGAATGACTCTAAGTAAACTATGGCTTTAAAATGACCAGTGCTTCTAACTAGACATGTGATTATAAAAGATTGTTAATTCAGACACTCACATCCTCCAGTACCTCACTCATCTACCTGTTGCTGGAAAGTCTACTGGAGTTATTTTAATTCATA